GAATGTAAAGTAATCTGCGCCGTCTGTGTCCGTGAGTGCGCAGCGAGGAGCAGTGAGAGGAGCCACGAGGGACGCGACAGTTAACATACAGACGGTGGAGAGAAGAGACGTGAACACACAGGCTCTGAACACGTTAGGACTTGAAGTGTGACTGTGGATACAGTGAGTGTAGCGTGCACGGGAACGAACCGGGGACCGCGCTGGTGGAATTTCAGTTATATGTGTAGTGAAATGTGGTTTGATTTATTTAGTTATTATATTTATTGAGTGATTTTGTTAAGTCTCAAATATGGAATCAAAAATTATCCTTAAGTTAAGAGGCTAAAGATTTGGAACTTGAGTGAATTTGGTGCTTCTACTGGAGAAGCTTGCTGTCTAAGAAAATAAACAATGCTTCTAAACAACAAACATTTTTATCAAAATGTATACATTGTAATAAATACGTGTATGAGTTCTGTATATGATTAACTAACAGTCAGTAGTGAGGAATGATGAGATGAACATGTTTGTTATATTAAGATAATTATTACTTCACATTCAAGATGTATACAGATGAACTTTCCAAATTCGTTATTAATAACCTTACACTTACTTATGATTAGTTTTTTTGTTACACACAATCTACTTAACGAGTTCTTATATATCTTTGTAGTAATGTAACAAAGACATGTAAATAATACTTATTATAGTATTCCATGTAATTCCCCCGCAGGGTCAGGTAGAACAGTTTTATAACATATGAAGTCTACATACATATGTCGCTAAATATTTAACCACCCAACCAACCTTATTCATTTGTTACCATATCTATTGTTCTAATGTTAATATCTCCATTGGAGCTTCACACATAAATTCACGCGGCCAAACCTTTTTTATTACTCTTTTTTTTATTAGTCGCTTCGCTCGTCCGCTCAACTTCGCTGTCGTGGGCAATCGACAACTTCTCGCACTAGTTGCACAATATAATATTATCCTCGTGAATTTCCCTGTTAAGCTTCGTTGGAGATATTTAAATTTGCACAATATACAATTTAAGGTTACATGCACGAACACTTGTGACACATTGTACATACATTGTAACGCTTCGCCTGAGACCGGAGTCCGGAGTGCACGTGAGACTGTGGAAAGGAACAGAGATGTATTATGGACCCGGAGTTTTACATATTGATCTTAGTTTATTCAGTCATTATAATATCAGTACAACTCATTTTGTACATGCATGCAGTTTATCAAAAAAAAAATTGACATTCATTTTTTGGACCCACATTCATCTCTTTGAAGAAAACTATGTATTTGAGAGACTACAAATAACCGTGACAATGTTAAAATGTATAGTAAAAATATTTAAAGACTCGATTTTTAAATTTTTTTCTTCTTATATGTATATTAATATCACAAAGGAAATCATTATTTTTATCATCAGGATAATAAAAAAGCGTGTGATAATGAACTCAAACTCAAACAAGTACCTACTTTAAGGGAGTTATATTTTTTACGGATTATTTATTTTTTTGTTCGGTGGAGTGAATTACTTTAATTTAATATTTAATTATTTATACTTGTTGCTAGAGAAATTAATAAGTAATAATAAAATGTTATTTCAACAAATATTTTATCAGAAGAAACAGATTTATTGAAGCAAGTCTCACTTCCATATTGATATGAAAAAATCGAACATCGAAAGTGTTCGAGTAATAGTTTTGATAACAAAATGATCATAATCATAACATCATTAGCCATTTATATATTTATATATATTTTATGTCTTCTCTCTGTACTAAGACACAGCTTCCCGAAACACCTCATATTTCCAGGTCAATGAACAGTTATTGATTCTTATTTAGTCTCATGAAAACGGCCTTATGTTTTGATTAACTTTCAAATAAGAATTGGTTATTTTATGTTAAGTATTTATTGGTACTTACTTAAGAATGTTATCGAGGTTTTTTTTTATGTCAGTGGTGGCAAACGAGCAGACGGCCTTCTTGATAGGCAGTAGTGAACGTTACGGATCCGTTGTCAACCTTGATTGTCGAGGAAACGGGATCGATGGGAATAGGGACGTAGCAGGAAAGGGAAGGAATAGGGAAAAGGCAACCGGTTCTCTCACTTATCGGACGAAACGCAGCAACTAAAAGCTACATCACGCCGATCTTGTTGAAATCCTTTCAGGAAAAAAGACTAATTTATTTAGTATTAAATTGTTCTTGAATATATAAAAGAACATTGTAGGTGCATAAAGTTACGAATAAATAGATCGTTTATAATATATTTTTAGGACACAATATGCCCAAACACACAAATATATGTACATATTATATCAGGTTAATAAAATCTTATTATGAATATAGTTGTAACATTTCAGATCGAGTCTATTGAAGCTACAAGAACACTGTCAAGGGAGGTGAAGTAATCTTTTCATTTCACTCTCTCTATTAACGTGATACAAATAAAACTAAAGCAACATTCATATTACTACTCGTACTGCCGACACAGGATATTGTTAGCTCACCTCAGGATACGTAACATTTGTAACCAAGTATATGTAACATTTGTAACCAAGTATATGTAACATTTGTTTGAGTATATACTCGTAGTTTAACACAGTTTTATATAAATACGAACCAGACCGTTTTCGAAAGGCCTCCTTCTACATACGTACATATTGAACGTACTTATGTTTAAATTCATCTTGAACTGTGTTTATTGACCATAACTCTGTTTGTTATTCGTGAAATTTATAAATAATGATTTAATAATGACTTCATCCATGTCTCGTGGAATGTTAGTTTTCCCTTCACTCAAGATATTTGACACTCCGTCTTGATAAATGTAACTATTTAGCATATAATAACCAAATCACTAGTTTATTTTCATTGAATTATCATTACTATAATGTGCTTATAAATGATATAAACACAAGTCAGTGAATGTTCCTCATTAAATCACATTATGTATGTCTAATACAAATATCTAATATATTACGAGTATTAAATCGTTTCAAACAGCGACTCTCTGAGTGAGTTTTTAAAGTAAAGCACGTTGACTATCATCATCTGTGTGTGTTTCAACATTAAAAAACAGTAAGCTAGATACATTAAAACATTGAACTTCTGTTATGTGAACATTTCGTCAGTATTTTATTGAGGTCTTTAAGTATTAAGAAGCAAGTGCAAACATTTTATCTAACAAGTTAAAATGGATTTTACGTTAGAAGTATATTTTAAAATGTACTTATATATATAAAACTTTATAGGTATCCTAATAAATAACTTCATATTTGTTTTCTGTAATGACTAAGGTCTATCGGATAAATTTAATTCTAACCGAAATAAATTATTACTTATTTTATAATATGTGTATTTGTATTTAAAGTACTTACTTTTAAGTGAACTCTTCAAACAGTAATCTTAGAAAAACATTTGATATGTAGACTGTAAAGTAGATGATAGTTTGAGTTCGTAAACAGTGATCACCGTGATCGATAGGTAGTAGGTAACAAGTATGTATTCACAATTAGTAACTGAGGATTATTAAATAAGGAATACGGAATAATACTGCATGACTGAACACGGAATATCTCCTAATGTATAATGTATAATCAATCCATCACTTAAACAATATTATTAACTTAACGATTAAATGGTTTGGAAAAATTGTTGTATAGTTGGAGGATGTAGTGATATTAATACGTGAAAAAGAATTTCTTACAGTTGTCTTTACTTATTATACATAAAGAAACGACTTTCTCCGATTTTCTCAAAACTACTTCTTCATACGGTTTTGGGAATTTATAGAAAATTTAATAACATATCAAGTGATATATAAAAATGAACCTTATACAAAAGTGTTCTAGGAGTTAATTTCCCGTGAAATAAGTATCCGTTTTCAACCGACTACATTTCCAGTACTTCAAATAGAAGATAATGTTATAATCCATACAGAATTTCCTACATTCCCGGCTCGTATCTGTTTTCAGAAATCAAAGCCTTCAGCCAGTTAATAAAGAAATTAACTGTGAAGTTGTACTTCATGACGACTTCATTTAAAATTTAATCTTGACTCTCAGGTCTGTTATGAACATCGAGATTCTTACTAAAAATCTCAAATCACTACCATCTTCTTATAATTAATATTTTGTTATCAATCGATCTCTGTAATTGTGAACAGACCATATACTATGTAAATCACTGGCTGTGAAGTAGATTGTTTGATTATCAGGGACGGGATGATTGTACCGTCAGTTACTATTACGCAAATCTAATAGACTCTGTGCAGAGACAAGTAATTCATTAAAATTATTGTCAGTTTTAAGAGGCCACAAGAACAAAGTGCTTTTAATGACAGTATAAAATGTTATAGCTTAGTTTGTACAAATTCTGTAAACTTTGATAATCAATAAACTTGTTATTACAGTTGTTTGTGGTCGTTGGTTCTCCTAAAACTCATATGTTTTCATCTACCTCCAGCAACATATACATATATCAAGATTTATTTACATTCTAATGTATGTAAATATTTTAACATTCCAATACATTTATGTTATTGATGTACAACTTTCGATATTTTTAAATTTTCTTATAATGTCAACTGATGTCACTTTAGGTGTTAAAAATCCCAAAATGAAAAACAACTCAAAATGATTTGAAATTCTAAAATGATTCATGAGCTCCGAGCCTCGTGTATTGATATTATATGTAGATGAAGTATCGGAGCGTTCACAATAATTTTACATAGACTACAGGTTGAGGGAATGTTCACAAAAATACAGAATATTATCTATATATATTATATATTACGCGCGTTAGTTAAGGTTCCCTTTAAACCTACACCTGAGTCACAAGTCCCAGTCACTGTTGAAGCTCCTCTCACTACAACGATGGACCCGACACACGCACCGAGAATACATATATGGAATGATGAGAAGTTTCATCTCTCTATACTAATTAAACTAATATTTCCAGTCTCACATTCAAGCAGCGCGTCAGATAGCAGGCATCCTGCGCACGTCGCTCGGTCCTAGAGGCTTGGACAAGATGATGGTGTCCTCAGACGGAGAGGTGACTGTCACTAATGATGGAGCGACCATCCTCAAGTTGATGGATGTGGAGCACCAGATAGGGAAACTGATGGTGCAGCTGGCACAGAGTCAAGACGATGAGATCGGGGATGGAACTACTGGGGTCGTGGTGTTGGCTGGTGAGATATATACTTGATCTGTGATACTTTGTCTATATAAGATTAGTAGACTATATAATATAGTATAGATTTCACATGTATGTATGTGTGAAAGTGAGTGGCGGCCTAGTGGTTAAAAGGCCCGCCTCTCATGCACGAGGGCGCGGGTTCGATCCTGACCCGGGCAAGTACCAATGTGATTTTTCCGAGTCATATGTACTTTATAAGAGTATTTAGACATCACTGATTAATGCTGATTCCCAAAAGAGGGTTGATGTCAGGCAGGCGGCCGGTCGTAAAAACAATTAGCCAAAACTATTCACAATATGTAAGACAGACCCTGGCTAACGCTGGGAAATGGCCAGGTAGAAGATAGTATAGTATGGATTTTATATTGTTTCAAAAACATACTCTAGATGTTTCAGTTAGTTTTTATTTATATACTCCTTATTGCACACCAATATAGACAAAAGTAGTAGGAGTAAAAGAAAGAAAAGAAAAATGTACAATAGGCTGTGTGTATAATATACTACTTTGTGCTATAATACAATACTTTGTGTGTATATAAGAAGACTAGTAGATTACATAGTATAGTATGGATTTTATATTGTTTCAAATACATACATACACTAAATGTTTCGGTTAATTTTCATCTCATTACCCTTTATCACAGCTATTGCAATGTAAACGAAACATGTGGAGTATGTAGTTAAATTAATTAGACACAGTACATACTTGAAAAATATTAGTTTTTTTTTTAAATAAATGCTTGTATAAGTATTAGATTTATCACCAGTCTTTATACTTGATTCCACTTACATTGGTATAGAGTGTAGTTGCTATACTAAAATGCCTTCTTGATATAAAAATACATAGTTATCTATTTCAAACAAAATGTTAATGATTAATATGTATCTTGCAGGTGCCTTGTTAGAGCAGGCTTCAAATCTATTAGACAAAGGCATACATCCGATCAGAATAGCCGATGGGTTTGAAATGGCAGCAGCAACAGCTGTAGCACACTTGGAAAGTATCAGCGAGCCGTTCCCCGTCAATAAAGACACAAGGGAGCATCTTATCAAAGTTGCTATGACTACGCTCGGCAGTAAAGTAGTAGTGAAGTGTCACCGGCTCATGGCTGAGATAGCCGTCGATGTGAGTAATATAACACAGAAATATTTTGTTTTTAATAACTTTCATGTCTTATGCCAGACACAAGCTATGGTCTACTGGAGACATCCACCTGTGCAGGTAGTTTAAAATGTGTATGGGTATAGACATGTGATAGTTTTAGTAATAAAACACTCTTTTTCACTAGTTAGGTTTATTACAATAAAATATAGTCGCTATGTCACGGACTAGTGTTGTAAGCATAGAGAAAAATTATAATTAGAAATCTTCTTCAATATAAAAATAGATTGCTGTTCCTTAGTCTCGCTAAAACTCGAGAACAGCTGAACGGATTTATCTTATCTTAGTCTTGAAATATTCGTGAAGGTTCAGGGAAGGTAATAAAAGCTGAAAAAAATTGATTCATTACTGGGAAAACATTAAAAACAGCCCTTTTCTATTTACCATACAAATGTTTTTTTTGACATTAGATTTGACAACTAACTAATATGTCAATCATTCTGTCGCATTTCAAAACACGGAGATTTATGGATTACATGTAAACTCCAAAAATATAAAAAAAAACGTAATAGATATTTCTTGATTATAGGGCGATACGAAGTTCGCCAGCTCTTCCAGTAAATTATATTTCATAAAATAAAATCTAAACAAAAATCTCTTTATAAATCAAGTTTATTTTAAAACTATTCTTATTTTAATTAATCTTATAAATTAGTATTGGATTTCGTTCTTATCATTGTTATCAACTTGTCTTTTTCTAGTTGTAATTAATAAACGTACTAATACGGATTCATTAATGTAATTAGGAGCTTCAGAATGTCCATCTGGAATATTTTATTGATCTTGTACTATACAGAGTTACTTGATATGAGAGATTTATTACTGTAACATAATTTTGTTGTTGTAAAGTAATTTTTTTTTGTGTAGTATATCCAATCTTTACCAATTATAAAAATACAACTGCGACAGAGTTAGGTATTAACATTATGTGTACATAGATTAATATATTTTATCATAGTTACATAATAATTAAATAATATTTTGAGGTTATATTTGTGGACAAATAATATTGTCCAAGTAAAAAATTTTGAATTATGAATACAATAAATCCAATTTGTTATATAAATATATCTTTGTAACAAAATCTTATTTAATTCTGTGTTATTATTGTTACTCGTAGGCCGTTTTATTGCTGTAAGTCAATTTCATAACTATTACCTTAAGTCTCATTCTCTTAATAATCCACAGTAATTCTTATGGTATTTTTATAATGAACATCATTTGTTGGCTTTGTAAAGCGCTTTAAGATAATTATTAAATATTATTTTGATTCCAATCCAAGCGACCCTCGTCAATGTCACGTTGCTAACAACCAAGATTGTGTTTCGTTAGGAGCTTTCATTTTCAGGAAATGTAAATATTTCATAACATAAATATGAGTAACTGTTCCGTTCTGTAATGTTGTATCATTTTATAAATAAACAGAGTGCGAGAAATACATTGAAAACAGGGAGTAAGTATCTTCAATATTGAAAAAAATATATATATTTTCCTTGACAAAATATTATTTCATTTTCAAAACATTTCAAATATATTTTGTATACTTACTTTTTTAAAAGACCTAATAAGTGGTAATTCTATTAATGAGGCAATCAAAAATGGATTAGATTTTTAGAGCGAGTTTGTAGTAAAGAAACACATGCGATTTGTAGAATAATCACTTGATATGTAAAAGTAAATTGTGTGTTTCAATCCAGGTGTAAGGTTTTTGTTCTAGTTTCTGAAAAGATGTCAATGTACAACTCCCTTCCGTCTGAAAGCAGTTAAAATCAATAGCACACCTTAACATTGCTACCTTATTAATAAAATAAACCTGTTAAAAATTTCAGTTTGTTACAAGCTTATTCTTTTCTTCCATACGTTATGGTTCTGTGGCCTGACACATAAGCATATTTTTTAGACTTATTAAACAAACATTTTATGTAACGAAAGAAGCTTACGATTTACGACTTGTCGACGTGTTTACTAAGTAATGTATGATGATTTGGGAAATAATATTTTATATTCGTGAACTAAAACAAATATTATAGACTAAAAACCGCTATACGTGATATTATAATTTATATTTGTAAACAAAAAAAAACTATATTTACACCTTATAATACAAAATCCAATAAAATTATTATATTTCAAAGTGTCATTGAAGAATACATGTTGCAGATTGGGTAATATAAAAAAATTAATATTTATCTACTCCCAGAAGAAATCAAAACTTTCCTCGAGCTATATTTGTTTTCTCGATTGGGTTTCTTATCGCCTCACATGGATGCATTCTTTTGATATCTTATATAGAATTAAAAAAACAAATATTTTATTATGTAACCAGAAATCACTTTTAATATAACATGCAAAAGATTCCAGTGTTAGTAAAACATACTTTTATTGCTTGTAACAGTAATAGAAACTAATGACGCTACGTATTACATGTAAAATTCAATGAACATTAAATACATCTGCCATCAGATAACATCTTATTGTACAAGACTGACCTTGTGCACTGTGAATATTCTTTTATTTTAATTCCTTTGCCTTCTACCAAAATTATAATATAAGAAGCAAAATAGATTCTACTGCTCATAATAATCATAGCAAAAGAGTCTGTTGGCTGAGCCACTTTGCCTCTACCATTAACAGCACAAGTATAGCAAAATTACAAATGATAGCTAAGATTTCAGCGAGTACACATTTTAATTTAAACTAAGTTTTTCGGATAGCTACTCGTTTTTTTTATTATTTTACTGTTGTTCTAATCATCCATTGTCAAACGCGAAGAAAACTAATCTAAACTTAGGAAAATGTTAACAGAATAATAAAAAAACTCGGAGCTATCCGAAAAACTTAGTAACATTTAAAATCACATTTATTGCTATACCTTTCTTTAAAAACACTTACAGTACCCTTTTAAAACGTTATATTTTAGTCTCTTCTGTGATAGTATACTCTCAATAGAATATGAATGTGTTCCTCGGACAACCCTACTTATAAGTCCTCTACAACTTCACGCCGAACGTTCCCTAAGGCCTCTTTCTCAGTATGGTTTCTCTCAACCAATGAAGTTGTCAAAATCAATGTTACACCTCATAAGAACATAAATTGATTTACTTCTGACTCCGTTTCTATTCCTTCATAACTTCAAATGTACACAAATAATTATACATATGTACATACTCATACAAAATTCTTCTTTTCAAAGCAAAATAAACTATTCTTTCCCAGTGACTGTACGTTTATTGAATCCTAATGACCCTCATTCCTACTCCACATTGTATTCTTATATTTCGGGTAGTTCTTTCTGTAATGTGACTTACAACGTCGTTTACTTGTACGAAATATTGCGAAAGTAAATTTTATTTTTAGAACAAAAATAAGAAAACATGAATATTACAATAATATGAAATCCATGCTATTATAAAACAAATAATTAAATTTAAGTTTCGTTAAACAAGTAACATCTTTTTATTCAATATGGATATTAATATTGAAATATAAAAACTGTATTACAATAATTATGTAATTTTAACCGTTATAATTATTTTTTATTATGAAACGCCAGTATCGCATGTAAAATAAATGACCTCTCGTGAAAACGATCACTACAGTGTAATTTAATATAGAAGTAGGTTAATGTTGTTAAATGTGAAACAGTTGTTAATAGAAACAGTAACTTTTTAATGCACGACCTATCTGAAGCAATAAAGTTTTTATTATTATTATTAATAATTAAAATTAACAATTTAAAAGTAACAAAAATTTTATAAATTTAATTTAACAATCTTTAAAAATCACACGAACTTATACTAGGAGTAAAATAACACATGAAATATAAACGTAGGTATAGCAATATCTATGATATCTCTTCTAAGGCCTGAGTTCGCTTATGGTCGGTCGGTTTCCGCTCTGTCCGCCGTCGAAAAGCTTCAAGTCTTGGTGAGTTGGTGATGGAATGGATTTCAGAGGTCTCCCGATGATGAAGTGTCCTGGAATAAGAGATAGAAAATCGTCAGGTCTGGAAGACAAGGGACACAGGGGACGGCTGTTTAGTATTGCCTCCACTTGTGCGAAAAGTGTTTGCAACTCCTCAAAATTAAGAGGGCTATTGCCCATTGCACGTCTTATATGGTGTTTAGCGGATTTAAAGCCGGATTCCCATAAGCATGCATGAATAAACTTAAATTTTATACCTGATTAAATTTTATATCTGATGCAGCAGTTGGTTACTAAATTATTATTTGATTTGAGAAATGAACCTAACTCTTTAGCAGCTGCAACAAAATTTCGCTTGTTGTCGGATGTTAATGGACCTACCAGAGCGTTTAGAAAATAAAGGTTTAGTATCATACATGAATCGTTTTACATATTCAAATATTATTTGGAGCTTAGAAAGATTGGAATAATTTTCAAAATTAATAACTGTTTGTGTTAGAGTGGATAAATTGGATTTAATTTCAGGTAAGTCTCCTGGTGGTAATTTAATACTTCCATTTCAGTTTGTAAATCTTCAAATTTACTAGATAAAGTTTCAAATTTATTTAATTTTAAAGATTAATACTGCTAAGCTAGTACTAGATAGTTGAATTGACTCTAATGTTGTTAAATAATTGTTAAATTTTGTAATCTGGCCTTTTATGGAACTACGTTTTAAGCTTAACTTCTTATATTTAATAATAGGTTCATCTGAATCAGTAGCCATGACTTCGAATATTAAAATTAAGTTAATTTACAATATTGAAAATTCGAAAAGTTATTAATTTATCTCACTTAGCTGCACTGGAGTAAATGAAATGCGTCGTCACTCTCCTCCCCTCTGCGATACTCCCAGCAAAGAAACCGGTTCTGCGTCGCTAATAGCTCGATGCACAAAACAGCGTCCTGCCTGGCACCTGGAAATTTCGGCAGAAAGGATGACTAAAGGTGAAATAGTATGGTGCTCTAAGAGTGCAGCTATTTAGTTATTTTGTTTAGCTATTTAGTGCAGCTATTACCATTATATTTGGTTATCATTCCGGCTACTAAAAACATATTACATATATTATTTAGGATTCCAATAGTTCGAAAGTAGACTAATGTGGCCGGAGCTGTTAATTTATACAGAGCGTAAAAACAACAGCGGAAACCTATAGCTCAGACTAAACCTATATAATCAAGTTAACTATTATGTTATCAAGTGAATAAAGTGATTATAATATCATATAATTTTAATGTACGTAGGTATGTATGTCATTGAACTCCGAAGCGGTTTGACCGATTCGAATGAATTTTTGGAATACATTTAGGTGGCGCCCCAGATGGCTTAGATTGAAAAATCGGCTCGGTATATGGCGCAACAGTCGGTACCTATCTAGGTTATTTAAAATGAAAAGACTACTAATCTATATCACGCGCCTAACTAGCTTTTATATACATTAGGGTGGAGCACAAATGTATGGCAAAATTTTTTTTTTTATATTTAGGTTTCTAAGTGTAAGGGATTTATGCCATATGTAAAAACATAAAAGTATGCCAATTTTCATAAGAATTGAAAATTGTTTTCTACCTCCGAAACCGCATTTAAAATTTTGAAATTCTTGAAAATACTACTCTTTTTCTCATATCTATATTTAGTAGAAATTAAAGGTAAATAGGCGAAAACAAATACACAATGTAATGATCACACAAGTAGTAATGTAATGAATGCAAAAAAAAATAAAATTACATTAAAAACATACATTTTGAAACACCTTTAATTTGGCTTAAAATGATGTTTTGTATCAAATTTAGGCATTTTGTCTCTTGATTCCAATTTAGCCCTTATGGCACCTAGTCGCGATTTTTTAGTACATTGCGAAATAGCTGCTTCTGTTGTAACCTTCACGGCTCGTTCAACTGCCTGCGTATGACACGGAAGACGCAAAAATGTTATTTGATTCTCACCACCAGACTGAAAAACAATATTAAATATTGTCTGTGTTGACAACGTTTTGAGAAGTGGTGGTTCAGTTATCTCTTTTTGCTAGTCTATCGTGTCGACATAGTTAGAAGCTTTAAAATTTATTTTTTGTACATCAAAAAGCCTTAGACCATGTACGGTACTGCTACGAGCCTTTAAAATATGCCGGGCAGCCAGAAAAGATACAATTCCTTTTGCCGTTCCAACTTGCGGTACTAGGTAATCAAGATAAATGGATACTGGCTCCTGAATAAGTGAAATATGTTCCTCAACTATTACCTTTCTGTAATTTCTTTTTCCTTTTTTTATAATTTTCAAAGTTCTGTCCTTTCTACCATCAAAGTATAGTGCAGAAATATCTCTGAGGTCTACCTGTTTCACTAACTCCTGTCTGGTCTTGTTTCTTTCTCTTCGTAACTTACTTCTGTCTACAACTTCTACCTCGGACCCAATGTCATGTAATACTGATGACACATTCGCAGCAGCAGCCCTGTCAGATACTCCGTATCTATCACATGTTTTTGATACAGTAGGTAAATTAATGCACGACACTTTTTTCCTCTTCTTTACAGGAATGACATATTTAGTATTGCTGGCAGATGATTCGTTTATTGTAAGCTCATCGCTATTGGAAGAAAGTGAAGAGGTGCTGACGTCTAAATTAAAAGGCAACGTACTTACACTAGAAGAGTTATTGGAGCAAAGTTTTCGTTTTAACTTCCGTTCCTGATTTATTAGATTTCTTTTGGTGACAACATCAACTCCGCCAATTATCAT